GTAGTAGGGACACGGAAGTGTGTAGGAAAAAAATAAATTGTCGGCATTTAAGGCAGCTGGCTACGTGTGCTCACTCTCCGACAAGGGTGACGCGCCCTTGGCGTCAACGTGCATTAAATATCGGCTTGCCTCCTGTCTTGTAAGAGAGAGAGAGAGAATGGGGATACATAAGATGATGGATTCGTAATACCACGCGATAGACTAAACGCGTGAGCGCACTCCCTCCCATATATAAACACCCACACCCACACCCACACCCATATATACATATATATATATATGCATATACATATACATATACATATATATATGTATATAACGGGGGGATGAGGCAAGGGGTCTCTGTCTCTCACCAAACTAATCCCACGAAAAGGAGACATTTTTGTTATTCCGGGAGGAGAGACAATCACATCCCAAATTTTCTCGGAAAATCCATTTCATCTTTCTTTAGATAGTTTCCTTCCCCCCCTCCCCCTCCCCCTAATTTTTCAGAAAATTAATTTAATTCAAATTCTTATCTTATAATCTGTAAATGAAAATTAGAATACAAATAAAATGAAATTTTGGCGTGCGTGTGTATATATACATATATATATATATAGAGATGTATGTATGTATGTGTGTGTGTGTGTATGTAATTAAAAAGGGTGTCTCTGCAAATAATGGAAGTGTGGAATAAAATTGCAGATGGTAAAAGGGCAACAAATTCTTGTCCTTTTTATAAGATGCTAAATACCATAATAATAATAATAGTGATGTGCAGTCTAATCACATCAAAATCAGTAATAGTTTTTCAATAATTGCAGTAAAAATAATAAACATTTATTATTAATTTTACTAAATTAATTAATTAATATTCTAAATAAAAACCAGTTTATTTAATTCGGTATAAATTTTCTTAAATTTTAAATAATTTATATATATATATATATATTACAGTTTTCAAAACCTTTGACCAATTATCCAAATTAGGATTGACATTTGAGGTGACCCTGCCCATTGGATTAGACTGAACTTTCCATCTCTCTGCTTATCCATTGGATAGGGGTCTCTTTTTAAAAAAAAAAAATTAATTAATTTAATTTAATTTCTTTATTATTATATTATTATATATTATTATTATATAATATATATATTTTATATTATATATGGGTTTATTATTATATATCAATGTTGTGTTGAGTGATAATTTTTTTTTTTAACATACACATTAAATTTTTTCTATGTTTAAATAAAATAATAATATCTTACCAAATTTTTAAGTTGAAAAATGCATATATTTATTTGTTAAATAATATTTAAACAATTTTAATCTTAATATGGTAAGAATAATTTTTATATAAAAATACATATATAATACACTATACAATTTAAATTTATAATTTTTTATTACAAAAAATAATACATTATTATATTATATTATATAACCGCATGTTTATCTTAATGTTCATATATATATATATATATATATATACATATAATAAGAAAATAGTGGAGATTAAAATTAATCATCACTTCATTAACTGTCAATTGTCATTTCATAAGTCGGAGCCCAAAATTTTATGTTTAGCGAATTAATGCATTCCAAACAGAACTTAAGACTTGACATCATCTTCTTCAGTTTTTTGGAATTTTCTTTAAATTATTTATTTATTTATATTAATTAATTAATGTTTCTTATGGTAATTTAATTATTGGGTAAATATGTATTATGGTAATTACCATTTACTATTATTTTTATAATTATAATAATTGCCCTACCACAAGCTTTAATGGGTAGTAACTATTAGAAAAAAAAAGTTATTTTTGGATAATTACATAGTTTTCTTGATTAAGTTCATAATTAGTAAAATATTTGTTATGGTAATTTTTTTTTTTTTGTTTAAGTCGAATTGAAAATTTTAACTTTTTTACTTTAATCCAACTTTAATTTATATAATCAATGTTAACACATTTAAACATTAAAATTAATATAATTAATATATCGGTTAAATTTATAAAATTTTAACTGATAAATTAAACTTTATCTGACATAATCTAAACTGATTATTTACTTCAAGTAAAATAAAAAAAAATTAATCGAAAGTTTTAATTCTAAGATTATAATAATTACTTTTAAATATTAATCATATAACTAAAAAAATAGTCGAACTAAATCTATCAGTTTGATAATTTATTGATATCTTTTTAACTTTTTTATTATAAGATTAAAACTAAACAAACTGACTGAGTAAAACTAAATTGTTTGTACTTCAATCTATTTTTATAATGATATAATGCTATATTTAATATATATGTTTAATACATACTGTTGACGTGATTTGAATTTTAATTATATTTATCTGGATGATAGCTTATATTTGTCATAATAGGTATTATACATATATATATATATTGAAAATATTTTTTATATTTGTCTTGAATAATATTTGATGTATATCGTAAAAAAATTTGTTTGAAAAAAATTCTATTAATTTATCTATAAATAAATTTTTTAACTTATGTATAATGTACTCTTATATTATTATAATGAAAAATTTATTTTACTGGTCTTATCTGTACATGTAGATATACTGTCGAATCACATAAAAATTTTATTTACGTTTTTACTTTATTAAGATTTTGTACGTTTTAAACATTTATTTTTACAACATACACATATATATTATAAATTAATTTATAAATGAGTTTATTGTTTATATATATGTGTATATATATATATATTATTAAAAATTAACAAATTTTACATGTAAACAATGACATGACTACATATACAATACAAGTGGAGAAGAGGGTGAAGTAAACGGAACGGGGGTGAATAATGAATTTGGTAAAAATGAGAGGTGAAAACGGGACGGGGACGGGGACGGGAGGGAATTGCGGGGAAAAGGAAAGTGGATTGTGACGGGACAAGAAAAGAGTGTGGGCCCTTTTTATTTTTTTTTATTTTTTTTTTATTATTATTATTTTTTTTAATTCTAATTTTCATATTATTCATTTGGCAGCCTTTTTTTCTTTGTATTTCACAAAGTGGGCCCCTCCTCAACCAAAAAAAAAAAAGCTTTGCACATTAACTCATTTTTTAGTTCCCTCCCGCCAAACAAGCCCTTAAATTAATTCAATTTGTTTTCTTTTGCTTGTTTACTTTCCCTCTTTAATTTGTTCTTCTTCTTCTGAATCATTTAATCATATCTGCAGATTACAACTCATTCTCCCGGAAAAATAAATTAATTCACCAAACACAAAAATACCCCACAAGAGATTTTTAATTTTGTTTTTTCTCTTGTATTTCATATTTAACACTCCCATACATACATAACAATGGGAATGTTTCGTAAATATACATATATATATGTATATGTATATGTGCATGTATATGCATGTCTGGTTTCATTTTATAGTTCGAAACTTTTTCTGGGTACTTAAAATAAGAACTTGAAATAGGGTTTTGGAGAGTTTTTTTTTTTTTTTTTTTTTTTCTGAACTTACTTAAAACCCTTTTTCACTTCGACAAAACTCTTATGAAATTCAAGTTTATACTCTTCAGCATTGTATATAATACGAATGGATCCAAACAAACAAACAAACAGAGGATAGAAGAGCAGTATTATTTGAGAAAGAGAGTGCTGGAGTATTCAGGGCCAATAATGAGGACCACAATTGATCATTGATTCATGGGGGGGTGTGTGTGTGTGTGTATAAATATATATGTATGTATGTATGTATGTATGTATATGTTGATGTAGGGGAAACAGTTGTTATTTGAAAATTAGCAGAAAGAAAAAGACGGAGAGGGTA